CACCTGGTAGCATCACATTTATTAGGAATAAAGACTTCTGAGTTCTGGTGCATTTGTGCGTGCGTGGGTCATTGTATTACCTCTATGCGGTCTCTAGTTTAGAATATTTTTGAAAATTTAAACAACACTCAACCTTTCTGACTTTAGAAGCAAAGYAAAAGTTACTCTGTTTCATTGTCAACATTTGATGGTGTGTTTTAGTTCACTTCCTGTGAGTACAAACTTCATAGATGTTTGTTTATGATGCAGTATCTTTTATCCAATCAAAGAAAATGGCTCTGCACTTACCGGAAAGTGTTCAGAGTTTATTTTTTTTGTATAACCGTAATCCTTTTATTGATGCTGCCTCTGAGAGCTTGCAATGTGTGGGCTGTAAGAATAGTTACGAGGAGATAGCCTAAAATGTGAAGAAAGGTTATAAACAGGAGCTAAGCTTCTATAAATATACAACTCTCTTGTTGAATCCGTAAGTTTATCATACACTAACACTGTATTGTGAGAGTAGATGGTTGTTCTTGTCTCTCTGCTCCCTCTCAGCCATGTCTCATCGCTCTGCTCTCTGTTTCCTCTCTCRTCTCTCAGCAGGTGGAGGATGGTGCTAACTCGGAGTGCAGCTGGGAGGCAGGTCCTTCCTGCTCTCGTGCTGCTGCTGCCGCTGCTCTCTTCAGGGTCAGGTGAGTCTTCTGCTTCTTTCTTCCATCTGAGTCTGTGGAACATCACCAGCAGGTTCACAAAATGGGTTCAATGGAGGCAAAACAACAGGATCAGAACCCAAAATAATCACTTCAAGCATCTGTTTTTTTTCCTTCACACACTACACAAACAAATCTATAATCAGTATTATTGCTGTGATACTTGAGCGACTGAGCTGGACCCCCTCCAAAGTCATTTACTCAACTTCAGTCAAACGTYTCTTCCATCTCATTGTGTTTGTGTTTTGAACTTATGATTATGAAACAAACAAAAAAACCTCTCAGAACCGCAGCTTTCAGCTTATGTTTTTTTTGTTTTGTTTTTGTCAGGTTCCAGTCTCTTTGTGCAGCCTCCCAACTGCCTGAGGTGGCAATAAAATCCTGTCYTTAATTACTTTTACTGCCATCTGCATGCAGGATGGTGGTCAGCAGGGATTTTCATTCAACTTGAAATTTAATCATTACCAGAATAAATCTTTGGTCTGTTTGTAATTTTTTTTAAATTGGAGGAMAAAAGGTGACGATACAAACAATAATTTATCGTTCAAGTTTGAATTTAATTAATTCAAACCGAACAGAGAGGAAAGTTTGTAAAACATCAAATGTCAACGGGCAGAAAAAGATGTCTGCTCTGTTTCCTTCTGTGTCACTGTTTTAACAGCTTGTCTCAGTTTCTGCTGGTAAATATCTTGGATTAACTCTTGTCCTCCATCAGCGCTGCTTTTTCTCTAGCTGTCGTTCTCCCTCTGTTGTTTTATTTTTTTATTTTTGTGATTTCAGCGATTGCGTGTGATTTGAGGAAAGGCGACGAGCATCTGCAGCTCAGAGATGCTCCTGGGGGTGGGGGG